CTAATCTCTCTGTTGGGGCAGCGTAATGCCAGTAAGGGGAACGCTGTTTCTCTGCCGGTGCTTGGTCATTGCTTCTTCAGTGGCCCTGCAAATGGACCCCCCCTCTACTTCAGAGATTTTTTTTCCCCCCTTAAACTTCTTATTTCAACTTGCAAAGCAGAAATGCGCTGTTTCTTGAATGCTGCTCTGATGTTTTGAAGGGGGCAGAGAACATATAGTGGATGACCTGTAAAGAAAGGTCCCTCCTGTTAAGGAGGGAAACTGGTGTAGCAGCTGTAGTAGAAAACAGTGGTGACTTGAAGACCTGCATAAAATAAATAGAAACAAGTTCTGTTGTACACGTCTGTAACTTGCATTTATCTGTGAAATTTGTACCCAGTGGCTGAAATGGGAATAACTTACGCTGCCTCACTTCAAACACATATGCCAGCACTTTGCCAGTGTCAGAACAAGTAGATCAGGTGTGGGGACTCCCAAAATTATGCCTCCTGTCCACAGCCTGTGTGTGCAAGTTCTGTGAGAATTTGCATGACTTACTGCAGGAATGGCTGTACTGGGAACACTTTGAAAGAGCAATGGGATGGGGCCGAGCTTGTAGATTAAGGAACCACTGGTTCAAGCAGACTAGCTCTGCTTGGAAACAACTATGGCATAGGACTGTCTCTGAGTGTCATCTTTGTTGTGGGGCAAAGGATGTGAATGGCTGGTGAAGTTTCATTCAAGAGTTGGATTTAAGACATAGGTTATTATTGGACTTGTCATGTGAGCAATCAGCTTCATAATCCTTCAGGAAAAAAGGTTTTCTTTTTTGATATCCTCCCCCCCCCCCCCCTTAAGTTCTCCAATCATTCCTAAACAATTTGCCAAAACCAGAACAATCACCATCAAGAGAAGCCAATCCGGACTCGTAAGACTGACTTCCAAAACTGACTAGGATGTATCTTTTCTGCTTATCAGATTTTGGCTCTCTTCTGTGGTCCTGAGAGCTCATCCAGTTGTAATGCCACTGTCTCCAGTATACTTTGTGGGCTTTAACATACCGTCATATAACATAATTTCTCCTCTGAGCCCTTTACCAAGCCAGTGTTGCCCCACTTCAGCTGTTCTTACAATCTGGGGAGTTCTTTTAACCTGTAGAGTAGCAGACCCTTTATGAACTTTCCTGAGTGTTTCTGTGTGTGTCTGTCTGTATATGACCTCCACAAGAGGTCGTACATCCTAATTTAAAGCTTGGCTTCACAAAGAACAAAGTGTTCGGAAGACAGAACAGCAGTGGTGAGGTGCCCCACACTGCTTTGCTTTTTACCTCTAGTGAGAATGGTGTGAGCTTCTCCCCATCTCGTACCAAACCCACAGGTCAAGACAAAAAGGGGGTAAGTGGTCCTGGCACCTCCCCTGTTTGGGGTCTTACCCATAGGAAACAGAAAACAGGCAGGCAGGAGGGTTTTTCCCAGGCACAGCTGAAATATTCAGGAGGGCCAAAGCTGGCCACACTACTCCTAGAGCCACCCGCTCACTTCCACCTGAGAAACGTGTTTTTTGTGTTCCTTCTGTCCGTTTTTTATTATTATGTACTATTGCCAATCCCAGGAGAAACATGAGTTTGAAAAAACACATTGCTTTACAAAGTTACCAGATTTGCCCCGTTTTAGATCTTATTTTATTCTCGAGATAGCCAGGTGGAAGCAACATGTTTGATGTACTTAAACCTATAAATTTGATTTCATCTTCAGGTTCAGCATTTTGACACGTGTGATTTAGCTTATAACGAGAGGTTCACGCCTCAGAGCAATGCATTTTGAGGTCACAAGCAAAAAGCCAATCTCCAGCTGCTTGTATTGAGCTGGACTTGAAATTCTCTGAAAAGAGCCAAAATGGAGGAGGTTTTCCTCATTTTTATTGATGTATCAAATTATCACAAGGTGAATTCATTTCAAAAGAGGAAAAAAAAAACCCAGAAGACCTTCATGTGGGTCTTTGCAGCCAAATTCCTGCAAGCTGCTCTGTGCTGGTCAGCCCTCACACCACCAGGAAGCGTATTGGCTGCCCAGATACTAGCAAATCATTTTTAATACCTCATTTCAGGTCTTTGGAGATTAATATTACCATAAATTTGGAAGCCTGATTTAATTGTGCTAATTATATTTTCTCCTGGGAACTGATGGATTACTACTTACCATCTTCTTGCTGTACGCAATGAATCACACTGAGGCTTTCTCTTATTTATGCCTGCTGAAAGTCTAAGAAATGAGTTGCGATAGGCATTAAAGAACCATGTAAGAAATTACCCTAAACCATTTGCTACATCTTTATACTCCTTTCATAGGTCTGTTTTCACGTATGATGATAACAATTCTGTTGTTCTGGAAATAAGTGTAGAAACTTCTTTTTAATTCTCTCTCTGTGGGGAATCCACTGAAGAGAGAGCGTATTTCAGACATGCTAGATATCTACAGTTCCTCTTCACATAGCTCCATTAACATCCATCCCCATCTGTTTGTTTTTGAACCGAATGCTGTAGATGTGGAAGTCATTATGGCCACCACGCTCCCTGGTACTTGGGATTCCATCAGATGTAATCATGCACATGTTGGAGGCTTGATTTCACTGCTGCTGGAATTTGCCACTGAATGGAAGCAGGGATTAGGTGACATCCTGTCACAGAAGAAAGTTTATCTGTCACGTTCAAGTGCCAGTAACCAGGGTATCTTGCCTCTCCTATGGTTTTGGAAAATGACGTTCCCTCCTGCTGTCTGAATGACCTTCCTTGCTCAGCGTTCATCTCATGCAAAAAAGCCTTTATCATTTATGTGAAAAGAAAAACAGTCCACTCCTAAAATTAAGTAACAATTAAAACAGTGTGCTTTCTGTCATCTTAAGATCCTCCTGTGGATTTAAAAAAAAAAAAGGGAAGTCTCAGTTTCTTGGGGTGAGGAGTGCTCACAAGGGCTGATTCCCCACCCCCATCTTCATATCTCCTGTTACAGTTTTGTGCTGAAATCTTTCCCTTTCTCGCTGGCTTTTGTAGTCAAAGCAATAACTAAGTTAGGAACAAGTACATCTCTGGTTCAGCCTTGATGCTCAACTGCTGTCTGGGGACTGTTTCTGACCCTCGCCCCCTGTCCCCGCTCTCCCATGCAGAAAAGCGAGGTCCCTTTCCCCCCCTGTGGTGAAGAAGCTCCTTCCTGGGTGGTCGTGTGCCTCTTCACACTGGGGGACATAGACATCAGGGGAAAGTCTGCACTACGCTGGTTGGGCACCTGGACATCGTGTTGACCCTCAGGATTTCAAGCCTGAGTTGCCTCTGCCAAGGGGTTTCTTCTGCTGATGGGGGTATCGGGTAGGATGCTGTGAAGCACTGAGTCCAGTGAGCTCAGCTGAGAGTTGAGAAGGGGGGAACCCCATCTCTTTAGTTTTCTGAGCTGATGAAAACAGGATTTTGAGAGCTATTCATGCTGTAATTTATCTGTCTGGTTACTCCCTTTTATAAATTGTATTTTCTCAAACGCGGTATCTCCTAAAGGTGGATCCTTCTTTCAGATATGACAATCGTTTCCTCTTAATTAATCTTGATAGTTTGTTCATCTTCGCGGAACAGATCTTCACGAGGAGAAAGAAAGGCACATTTCCTTCAGGAGCGAGTTATGAACACACTAAATTGAAAAGCTGTGATGTTCTGTCACATTAACTCAGTCCCTACAACACAGCAGTCGTGCTTGATAAATGGCGATATTAAGAATAACATTAGAGGACACGTGCATGGGGTTGTGATGGCAACCAGGATACCTAACTACCCAGTGTTACATACATTGCCCTCCTCATTTATGCCTTCAGTAATGATGGACGTATAGGAAAAAAAAAATCAGTATTTTTTCAATTTTTTGTCACAGTTGACAAAATATGTGGATTATAACTGGACCTTCTGTTGAGCCATAATCCTGTCACTTTGGTGCTATGAAAAAATACATCATTATGCTATATTAAATATCAAAGTATGTGACACATAGCACAATTTATTACACAACTTATTATATAATTATATATTTATTTATATAAACTGGGCGGGGGTGGCGTGTAATGTTACATAAACCCACTGGAGCAGTTTTCCGGTGTGTCTGTCACTGCCACACAGAGGTGTTGACACTACTGTGAGCAGGAGGGTGACTGCCTATTTATGACTGCAAGTGGTAGCGAGAATTATCTTCTTCTGCTTTTGACCTGCCTTTCCCCGCTTCTGAATGGCTGATATTTGGTGCTTTCTTTAAGCCAGTTATCTGGACAGGGCTTGCTTATTAAAAGTCACCAATATTATCTTAAATCACACCACTGTCAATCAATCTCTTTAGTGGGTCATACTGCTATAGAGTCCTGGAGGTTTCTGACTCGAGCCAAAGTGCAGATAACTTCGAACGGTATCTTTTGATGTGAGTGCAGCCTTAAAGTGTCGGGGGATTCTTCTAGAGCCCTTGGTGTTTTCACCTTTTCATTGCAATCTATAGTAACAGCACTGTTCCCACGCAGCCTGGCGAGGTCACATTTAGGCTAACACTGACCGCTTCCATTACCCCACCGGTGCCTTCTTTTGTTCTCTCTCCTATATATAGTTCAAATCAAATACTTATTTCAAAAGGCTATATTTATTGTCCTTTAAAACTACCCTTTGGATGTGATGCCCAAAAAAGCTTGAAGCCATTTAAGCAACCTTTGTGCTGGAGCTAGTGCCTATGCAGTTGATGCATACAACCCCTTGGCTTCCCTCGAGCTGTCGTGCTGTCTGTACCACTTCTGTGGGCTTACTGAGGCAGGAGCTGCACTTGTGCTCCATGTATTTATGCAGCAGCTAAGACAGAGGGCTCTGCTTCATTACTCTGGCTCCTACAGCGTAAGAAAATTATAATAGTTTAAACACACTTCAGTTTATTTTTAGTCTGAAGGATAAGAGACTGAGACTGGGAGACTGGGGTGAAAAAATCTGATGTTTTAGCTTTTTTCTTCTTCAGGACCTTTGTGGCAAGTAAGGCAAAAAGAGGTAGCAGGTGAGAAACATGGGCTATGGCTTGTGTAAAGGTCCTGCCACCTGCTAAAAGCAACTTCTATGGTGGAAGGTTTTGTACTGGGGGCATCCCTGGCAGGGGGGGGAATTTAGGCAGTCTGTATCTGTTTGTTTGGTGAAGTGGCGTTTTGCCACAACCGCCGTGCCAACCAGGCAAAGCTGCCTCTGGGGAGCAGGACCTGGCCCTGAGGAGCAGGACAGAACCGATGCAGGGCAGCCCAGGGAACAGCTCTGGCTTTTTTCCTTTGATTCCTGTATGGGGGGAAGGCAACAGGGTGGCTCAGTAGGTTTTAAGGACAAGACAGTACCAAAAATTACTCATCTTACAATCTCTTTTCTATCTCCTTTTCCTATCTTTTTCACAGAATTAAACGTAAGGGAATCCGACGTAAGAGTGTGTGATGAGATGTCGTGTAAATACGGAGGAGTATGCAAGGAAGAGGGCGACGGCTTGAAATGTGCGTGTCAGTTCCAGGTAAGGGCTGCTCACCTTTTTGTTTGCCGTTTCTCACCAATCTTTCAGGGGTACTGAAGTATTTATAGAATCACCGCTTTAAAAATTTCGCTCATCAGCAGGCTTCTATAAACCTAACCACAAGCTCCCTTTTTAATGGCACTGATTGGGACGGTATGTGACCAAACTTCACCAGGGCGTGCTCAGGGAGCAAGTAGAGAGTGTAGCATCATGTTAGCTCCCCGCGTGGCTTTAGTAAGCCAGCTGGCAGCACAGACTGAACTGGGGAAGAACAGAGGGCCACCACGTGCTGGGCACCCACGGCCCATGACCAGCACAAGCAGAGGTGGGGAGCACTGGGTGACACCCGCTCTCTGCCTCCCTGCCTTGCCTCATCCTAGATGGGAGGGGAGGTGACCCGGAGCAGGGTGGCCAAGCCTTGTCACACACACCAGATGCAGCTTTATAATTTAAATGCAGTACTTATTATGGATTGTTTATCCTCATACCTGGTATTTGGAGAATTCTTCCCCGCTCTGCTGGTGGCCAAATGTGGTACTTTAGAGCCTGGGAGATCTTCAGGTATTTTGAAAATCAAATAATAACTGGATCACCAGTGATCATAAAATTTATGAATGAAAATAATGAATTAATCCCACTCAGGAAAAAAAAAGAAGTATGGAAATTTTATTTTGAAAAATCCCCATAACTTTTAAAAAGTAGTAAATAGCAAATTCAATTTTCTTCACTGTTTTTTGAGCCTTTAGTTTACAGTTTTTATAACTATCCTGGCAATCCTTCCTCCCCTCGCACCCCTCACTTTTTAGATAAAAGAGAGTACTGAAGTTCTTTCTTCTTACAATTTATAGCCAGGACAAACATATCAAATATTATAAGACTCGCAGTAAAACTGCAAGAGGTGGCAGTGTTATCAACCAACCCTGGAGTGGGATATCCTTCAGTGTTTTAAAAATAATCTTGTGTTCTGTTTCCAATAAATAATAAATCAAGGGGAACCAGAATAGCAACAGCGTGTGTGTGATCTTACACTGGTTTTGGATTCCAGTGTTTCAGAGCTGGCTTTTGATGTGGTGCCGTGCAGGTGGGTACCAATGCTGGGGGCATCCTGCAGCTTACATCCCATAAGAACCATGGGTTCTGACTGCCTTGTAAAGGGAGAAAAAATTCTTAGGAGAAGAAGCTGTAACTTTTATTTATGAAAAATAATAAAATAAAACCCCAGTAATGATTTAAAAAAAAAGTAAAAGAAATTCAACCCTAGGCTAAGCAAGGTTTCATTTATTTTCTGTAGGTAGTAAATTTTATGACTTCCTAATATCCAGGTCACAAGGACTAAAAAAGAAACTGGCCCATGTGATAAGCTGATACTTTTTCTTGGAGAACCTATTTTAAAAACCAATATTATTCTTAGGGTAATTGTAAGTTTACCTCTACTTCTTGAAAATTTAATCCAGCACTCTAAGGACAAAAGTTTAAGGATCAGGAGGAGGTATTGTATTTTTCAGACATAGCGGGTTGAATTCTTCCTGCAACTCTCAACCTTAATTATTCAGCTGCAACTAGCACCACCACAGAGGGGCACAACTATTCACAGCCACCCTTGAACTAAGGCCAAGGCTGACACAAACCGTCCCTCAGATTCAGGAAAACGCTTAGAGATTTCCGTTCCCTTCCAGGCATCACCACTCCTTCCTCCTCCTCCTTATCTGCCACCCCTCCTGACCTGGCAGCATTTCTTAACTGTTCGGTCTTCTAAAACTTTAAATATTAATGAGTCGTAGTCTTTCCTCCTAGGATCCCCTTTGGAGATAACCGGCTGCCAAATTTCAGTGTTGTCACTGAAACAGCTATCGTGAAATGGCAGCAAGACATCTGCAGGCCACGACCTCTCTGAACACCTTGCAGGCTTTCTCTGTCTTGCCAAGTCACCTAACATAAAGCGAGATATTGAAGTTTGATTCCCCAGAATAAAATTTACAAATTAGACCATTGGAGGGGTGCTGAAGGATTCAGTTGTGCTCTGCTTGCAGCGACCTTAATGATATCCCAATTTTCTGCAGGCCTAGTCAGGAAAAAGGATAAGTTCCTTCATATTACAATGGATGTCAGGGATAGCACGTGTTCACCAAAATTATGGAAAGGTCTTTTGCTGCAATTTGGATGACATTTTACAAAACCTAAATTAAAAACCGATCAACACCCAGTGAATGTGTTATGGACTAGCATGGGGAGGTGAGGTGAAAGAGAGCTGGCACAGGGCTCTTTTTCAATCTCAATAAGAAAGGTTTGACAACAAATGGTTTAATAAGATAACTGCTTTAATTTGACAGAACAAGAAAAGGAATGTAGATAAGGAGTAAACCTTACATCCCTTCAGATGCTGGGCACGCCACAAGCATGCAGCATCGGATGGAGCCCAGATGGATTTTCCCACAGGACACTACGGAGGGCAGATCCTGTCCATGGAGAGATGCTCTCCTCAAGCTACTAGAGGATTTCCTCACAAGAAAACAACTCTATTCCTAAAGGAATTTGCATGAGAATTTTTAGCTGCACTGTACCAAATCTCTAAAGTCTTACCAAACTTTAAAAAAGGAATCTCTTTGCCTCTCACTTTCTATCCTGAGGACAGAAACCTGCAGCTTTAAAACATCACACAGTAACTTTAATATCGAATAGAGAATTGTCTATTAGAAAGTATTGTTCCCCCCAAAGTTGCTTGTTTAATTATTCCCTAGAAGTGACTGTTCAGTGTGAGATATGACAAGACTGACAGTTGTGGCTGAATTTCTGAAAGCTACTCACTATAGGAAAGTATTACAAAACTCTTAGAAATAATTTTCAGAGCTGGCAGCATGATTTATTTTGGTCCGGGCTTGCTTAGTTCATTCTCAGTTGGTCATCTATGGCAGGATGACAAAGGAGGAAGGATAATTCCCTTCAAAATTTTGTTTTAAAAATTGAGTATTTTGAGGTTTGTGTATGCCAAAGCATAAAGAAACTGTTGCGGCAGAGACTGTCATTTGGAATTTGGAGAAGTAACTCTTGTCCTTTTGGGGCAGTTTAGCTTAACTAATGTTGCTATTTTTGTGTGAGCTCTCACTGGTTGAACTATATCAGTCTAATCATACACTTTATATGGTTAAGAAATTTGGTGGCTAGTCTGTGTCTTTGTTCATTGCTTTTTGTTGTTTGGGTTTTTTTTTGCCTTGGGGTTTTAAAGATGCAAAAGGTGCCTGGAATTACAGTTGCCATTTGCAGCCGCAAAGAAGGCAACGTCTCCTTTTCCACG